TGCGCAAGGTTTTCTTCACTTTACATTTTTGTTTTTAGACGTTACGGCCTGCATGATGGGGATCGTGAAATGTAGAAGCCTGAATAATCACTGCAACCTAGATTTCCTTGCATCAGCATAGTATGTGGTATCTCAAAAAACTCAAACTGATAGTGGTAATTATCTAAGCCCTACAGCATGCCTACCCATGAATCACCTCCCCCAAATAACCCCCTACCCCCCTCATCATATGCCATGATCCTATTCTGTTATAGTATACAATAGTGGGAACCCTAAAACCCTAAACCCCTAAACCCTACATTTTATACTAGGGGGCGGGAGGTTTTAAGGGGTGGGATGACTCTCCCTAAAGTCTACATCCTACCTTCCCAAGACTATGGAGTTGTCCAGAATCCTCGTGATATGCACATATGGGGTATATCTATGTACTACTTCATGGGGACGATAACCCTAAACCCCTAATCCCTAAACCCCCCAAACTCTAAACCCTACACCCTAAACCCTCATCCCAAAACCTTAAACCCTAAGCCATATTGTATCTACTTAGGGGCGACTATTCACAGCTTCGAGCAGGCCACAGGTTCTCCTTCCTGAAATGCTCTTGCAACTCTGGGAGGGCAATGGCAATCAGCTCGTCAAATGCCCAAAGGTACCTAGGCTTCCGAAAAGTAGGAGTGCCCCAATATGGGTGGTTGTCAAAATTCTGGTCCCTTTTTGGGCATCCTAAATATTAGGTTATTATAATAGGGATCCAAAAAGGGACCATGAATTTGACAACCACCCATATAGAGAGGAGGTGGGAAAACTTAGACTTAGTCACTACGTCGATATGCAGACCCCAGCCCCGGTCCCCGAGCTCTTCAATCCGAACTAAGACAATTACATAGCAGGGTTCCCACTGGAAACACTTCCATCGCATCTGGAACATGAACACCAGACCCAAATTGCAAACGCACTAGGGTCTAGGGTTTAGGGTTTAGGGAATTTCTTCGGGAGCACGTAAACAGTTCTAGGTGAGCAGCGTCCCCTGGAAGCCCCGGCAATCCCAAAAACTTCCCCTACAAGCATTCCTGCAATCCCTTTACTCAGTGAGATGATCTATGGTCTAAACTCCTAGTATAACCCTGCATAACCCCTACGTATAATCGTCCCCTGTATAATCCCCTATACAACCCCACCCCTTAGACATAGCTCAGATGACGTTTCCAACCTCACTTCGTGATCCAAGCTGCCGCTTCAGCAGGGGGAAGCTGCGACGATAAAACCCGTTCAGCTGGCCAAACTCCATCAAGCAGAAGAACCTTCTAAGGGGC